TCCGCCCCTTGGCAAACGCTAAACTAAAATGTGTGATAAAAGTCTTAATCTCCGAGATAGAGCTCGTAAAGGACAGTTTCGTGCTAACTATGCAGTGCTAACGCTGTTATTCAAGCCGTACGGCAGACTGCAACCACCTATAATATTGCCAACCTCTACACTTAACGACAATGTCAACCGCATGATGGAGAATCTATCAATTAAACATTCAGTCACTTTACAAATGGGCAAGTCTGAGTTATTTTGATCTAATCACGTCTACCAAAGCTCATGAAAACTCAGGCAAAACTATTACGCGTTACAGACCGACTCCCATCTCTTCTATCATCAGGGGTATGACGTCCCAAGCAGCTGCAACAACAGTCAGGGAAAACCATTGGGTTTTCGATCCGGAAACTCACTCGCTATTAATATACTTTAGAAATTCAGATATATCTGCCGTAGCTCTCTAGACATATAATACGAAATTGAGTCAGATCTAGACATATACCGAGACCACACCGTTTTTTAATGTCTGACTGCTGGTCAGGGAAGATTCACGAGAACCAAAGAGTCTTAAAGAGGCTGTACAAATTGTCAAACAATCCCGAAACGTCAATGCTGACGGACGCCTATGTCTCCATGAGTTCTGGAAAGATCTATTTTTCAGAGACGCTCGCTGTCATCAGCAAGGGCACCAGCAGCTTCTTGACATGCGACCAAGCTAAAAAGCAATGTAATAAAGTATATATTTGCACTTCCTGATAATAAAAAATATCATATATAATCAGTTCTTCATATAATATCTGAGATGTGTAAATAATAACAGGACATGCGAAAATTTAATATTACGTAACGGTTCCTAAGTGCGAGAGAGTAGGTGGTGTTCCAGAACGAATCATTGCATAAATAAAGTTAAAATCACGCTCGTTTGGAATAATTTAAATCCAAGCAAATTTTATTAGCAAAATTTCTTAAGTAATCATATTTAAAATGTATCGTCCTTTAGGTCGTAGAAACAGTTTTTAATTTTTAGAATATAGAGAAAATATTTCTTTTATCAGCATTAACAGATTTTACATAGACAATACATGAACTAATTGCAACACATTTAACCTACAGGTTGTGTGTGGAATATGCTGTCAATAGGGAACACAGCATCATGCTGCGATCATGCTGAATATATTCCTAAACTTCTCCGGTTCGAATGCCCAAGTAAGTATTTTTTCATTAGAATTGATTTTCAAATCAACATCTTATTGACACCAATGTGTATTTGCAGATTTGTATAATCAGAATTGTCCGAAGATCTGCATTAAAGTACACAATCCTGAGAAATGTGTATGCGAATGCCAGATTAAGAGCATTTCGTCCTTCAACTTACACCATTAACAATGGTACGTATGGAACTGTCCTCGTATAACTTTATCTTCAGCATTTTACTGTCTATACAATTCCCATTTTGTTAAACAACCAACTTGTATGAAGAATTCATGTTTTGCTATTGAATTTTCCTTCGCCATATCAAAAGCTTTCGCCGTGCTTTTGAAGGAATTTAAAGACTTAGGATGGATTCCAAGGATAAGCATTCGAAATAGTCATTAGGGTTGTGGCAGAGCAAAAACTATGGTTCAGGGACTACCGCGTGTTAATGAAGTGCTAAGCCCTTACGCAATAAGCGATTCGGCTACCGGTTTAATAATTATTTATACACGTTATTGCATTGTTCGAGAACTGGCTGGATCGGCTGATGTAGAATTACGTCTTGTGTGGAATTGCCGCGCCGAATTGCCAGAATATTCAAAGAATATACCACTTGTCGCGAGATCAGAGATTTTCAAATCCACTGATGACGGATGATAAACACGTGACACCAGGCCAAAGGTCCTTTCCGCGATTAACGCGCGAATTTTTTTAAATCGCAAAATTTCTTCGAGCCTTCTCACAACTACTAAATTAGATTTTCTTAGAAATTTAGTTCTAAATACAGATCGTTAACTCAAGAGTTGTGCTTTTTCTGCAATTGTGATCCGTTTATTTTGTAATGTAGTACAAAATAAATAAAATAAAAAAACACGTTTGTGTCAAAAAATCTTCAAAATGTTTCTCCAGTATTTTCACGAATATAAAAAAGAACTCTGTTAAAACAGCACTGTCACTAGAAAATTGCGGCGATCCTAATACGAACGTTAAAAATTGCAAAAGATAAAAATTGAAGTTCTACAATCGCCATAATAGAGACGTTACTTTCAACACCTATAATAGAGATATCACGTAATGTTATTTTGTACAAAAATAATCCTTAAAAGATCACGTATAAGTTTTGAGAGTATGAGTAATTTCGTTTAATTTTTTCTCGAAGCGAAAGTGATGTTCACGGAGATAAGACATCCATGAACATGAGATTTTCCCCTCTTAGACAGTCAAACTAAAATATAAAGCAAACGTTTCGTGAAGGTCAAAATCTCGTGTAAGATAAAATTTTTCTACTCCGAAGCTTTTTCGTAATACCTGAGATGGCTTGGCTTGATAATTGCTTGATAAATGGTGCTGTCGGACTCGGAATGTCCCCATGGGAACCCTAATGGGAGCTAAACATTGGAAGGCGGCGACGTCATAGTCCGTTGGTCAATCCTTCTGTCCTTTCTTCGATAAGTCCCTCAAGACTTTACAGACCACTTCGATGGTGCGCATCGCCTTGTATCCACTGCTTCCAACAGTGCAATAGTAACCTCTACATGGTTCAAATGTTTCGCTATATTTTGCAATGACCAACCGACTCCACAGAGTCTTACAATATGATTTCTCTCAAAGGCATTCAGCTGAAAATAATAATTCCGAAACCGTCTTTGCAGCCTATTGCACGTCTCACAATGCTACGAGTAGCAAATTCACGGACAGCAGGGGCTGTGGCCCGCGACAGGACGCCGTTTTTTAAACAGGCGGACGGATCCATAAATGCAACCGAGGCATAAAAGCAACCGGTGCTAAGTGCCAAAATGCAAAAATTTGCTTTTTGCGCAGAAAATCATAGTATGTGTCAAGAGCAATGCAGTGTAAATTGTGTTATCTTAAATTTTCATTCCTATGGGTTCAAATAATCGCCACTAGACGGCGCGTTAATTGACTCCGGGCTTTTGAAACCCTTTTTCTTTGTTATCTCGGAATTTCATTTTTCGCACTTAGCACGGTTTTCTCTTACTGTTTACAATTACGCTAGGACACGGCGGTCAGGCGTGCTGTCTGAATGGTCTTCAGATGTGGAACCAACTCGAAAAGTTCAAAACAATTCGCTTCCTTCCTTCTTGGTGACACTTTTTATGTCTCTCAGTAAATTAATCAAAATTCTATGCCATGACATCAAATAGGTGTTTGCGTACAGACAATTCAGAGACAAGGGTCAAGAAGATATCAAAGTTATTGTACATTTCTCGAAGAGTAAACAAGTCGTGGTCAAATATCACGTTCTTTTTCGCCCATATTATCACGCAAAATTATGTGAAAAGTATTAAACATTTTCGAAAACGTATGCACAACCTTACCTCAAAATCTTTGTTTAAGTAAGAGATTTCAATATTTGAGTAGTAGGAAGATTCCAAACCAATTTTGATCTTTTGCATTTATCGAAAAATCACGGTTTTCAACGAACAAGAGAAATTCACCACTCCAATAACCGTTTTACTACTACAACTACCCAACAACATTTAAGCAAAAGCAATATATCCATTTTTTAAGACTTGGAAAATGTTCCGGAGGGCTTATGTATGGTACCCCCTAAAATTAAAATATCGGTTTCAAATAGAAAGGGACGTGACGTCAGCCAGATCAATTGAGAAATTTAGGAGTAAATCGGTTGAACGGTTAATCCGCTAGCGTTGTTCACAAAAGGATGAACATACATGTTCTGCAGACACACAGAGATGTTCTGCGGTTACTAAATATTTCGGTATCAAAGACCCAAAGAACAAAGATTTTCGCTACGCGACGGGCTACAATTTTTTTTCTAAATTCAACAACTTATTTTTCCACATTTCCCTTACCAGGGCCCTGTAATAAAAGTTTCTTCGCCTACAATTCGCCATTTTTTCCAAGGAGCATTGCGTAACTTTCTCTCTATGCTATATCGAGAAAGTAAAAATAAGATGAGTAGCTCACAGCCAAAGAAATATATGTAGGTTAATCCGTTCCAATATACGCTATGCCATATTAACTTATTTCCGTTTCTTATTCTTATATCCTTTTGGTATATAAGTAGAATAAGCATTAGGTTTTTTTCTTTCTGTATTATCGATTGATAGATAATTCAAAATACATTATCATATTTTGATCCAAGTTCCAAACAGTATAAATGTATTACGCTACAATAACCTCACTGTCGTGCACCGAAATACCTCTCACAGAAAGTAATTCAGTGTTTTCAAGCGTCTCTCTGAAGCACCAACAGCCAAACAAGAGGTTATAAGATCCATACAGCGAAAGAAGGTAAATAAGATGTGTTTCGGGGACTGAATGATGGGGTTGTGT